CACAGACACATACGTACACACAGATACAATAATACATACATACATACATACATACATACATACATACACACACATACATATGTATGTATGTACATACAACTAAAATATAATTTTAATAATTATTTTTATTCTCTCTTATATTACATCCCAGCTGTAGTTTCCTCTCCGTCCCCTCCCCTCAGCCTCTCCTCCACCCCAACATAATTATTTTTCAAAAGAAAAAAAGAGTCACATCCAAAGTTTGACCTATAGAAAAGTTGTCTGTAACCCTTAATTTTATATAAGCATGACTCAAATAGGTATTGCAAATCTATAGTCATTGTCTTAGTTAGGATTTCTGTTGCTGTGATGAAACACCATTACCAAAAGAAACTTGGAGAAGAAAGGATTTCTTTCTCTTTTTTTTTTTTTTTTGGTTTGGTTTTTTGAGACAGGGTTTCTCTGTGTAGCCCTGGCTATCCTGGAACTCACTCTGTAGACCAGGCTAGCCTTGAACTCTCAAACTCAAGAATCCACCTGCCTCTGCCTCCCAAGTGCTGGGATTAAAGACATGCGCCACCACCGCCCGGCCAAAAGGATTTATTTCTATTACATTTCCATATCATGGTCCACCATCCAAGGCTGTCAGGACAGGAACTCAAACCTGGAGGCAGGAGCTGAGGCAGAGGCCATGGGCGGGTGCTTCTTACTGGTTTGCTCCATGGCTTGCTTAGCCTGCTTTCTTACAGCACCTAGGACCACCAGCCCAGGAGTGGCACCACCTATAGTGGGCTATGTTCTCCCAACATTGATCAATCATCAATCAAGAAAATATACCATGGGTCAATCTGGTGGAGGCGACTTCTCATTTGTGATTCGCTCTTTCAAATGGTTGTAGCTGTGTCAAGCTGACATAAAACTAACCAACAGTCATCTTCCGGGGCGGGGTGGGGGGTAGATATTTAGTTTTCTTTAGTCTTCGTGGCAACTGTGTGGCACAGGTAGAGTCGCCCTTCAGTTGAGAAAACATGTTCAGAAAATCTAAGAAACTTGGCCACAGACTCACAGTGACTAAGGTCGGAGCCTGGGTTTGCAGGGAGCTTGCGCAAGCTCAAGGCCAAGCTTTGTTGGCTAGCTGCCCTGTCCCCACTCAGGAACACACTGATTTGGAGGCTCTATCTTCTTGCCTTAATGCCCTCACTTGTCTGCGCATGTCTGCTGTCTCTCAGGAGACTCTGAGCTCCTAGAAGCCAAGACACGCCCCGCCCTCTGCCCATCCCCACCCCCACCCCCATTTATCTAATTGATTAAACGTGACTGAGTGTGACAAGACCCTGGCTCTGGGCTGGAAGGGGACTCTCTGGCACAGCTGGCTTGCTGGAGGAGAACCCTCCACGCTTCTCTCCACCCCTTCCTTCCCCAAATCCTGTTTGGCAGACTCTCGGGTTTCCTGTGTTATTGCAGTAAGCTCCCAGCACACTCCCTGGGCAGAAGCACAGTGTTCCTCCCACATCCCAGATACACTTTGTTTCCAGCAAATTCCATGCATTCTAAGAGACAGGAGTTTCCTTCTGGGTGTTTTAAGCCCACTGTGAGCTGCAGTTACTTGCTAGAGGTTGTTCGTTTGTTTGTTTGTTTTGTTTGTTTTTTAAGTATCTGGTGCCAGTTTTTTGCTGTGGGTCAAGCCTAGTGGTTTCTTCCCTTTCAGCAATGTCAGAGAAATCTGGGAGGTAATGCTGGGCCCAGGAGGGGAACTTCCAGGTATCAAATAAGAGACACTTCTTTTTGGGGTATTGATTCTCTCTGGTTCCCCAGACCTTGCTTACATGCTTGGATCCTACATTTAACAGTCACCAATGTTAGCCGGGCAGTGGTGGCGCACGCCTTTAATCCCAGCATTTGGGAGGCAGAGGCAGGTGGATTTCTGAGTTCGAGACCAGCCTGGTCTACAGAGTGAGTTCCAGGACAGCTAGGACTACACAGAGAGATCCTGTCTCGAAAACAAAACAAAACAAAACAAAAACAATCACCAATGTTTAACTGTATCTCTCTCTCTCTCTCTCTCTCTCTCTCTCTCTCTCTCTCCCTCCCTCCCTCCCTCCCTCCCTCCCTCTCTCTCTCTCTCTCTCTCTCTCTTTCTCTCTCTCTCTTTCTCTGTTTCTCAACAGCTTAAATCCATCCCAGAGGCAGGAGTTGGGGTCCCACTTCCCTTGTGTTCCCCAGTCACAAGCCCGCTGCCACTCTAACAAATCAGTTCTCGAGACTCCAGACCCAGCCAGCTTTAAAGCCACAAGCTTCTGCAAGGCCCATGGGTCCCTTTACTTTCTATACCAAGAGCCAAAACCTCGAAGAGGTTAATGGCTCTTCCAGTGTCACTCAGCTAGTGAGTAGGTTTGGCCTCAGTATACATGCACACACACACATACATACACACAAGAACGTATATGCATATGCATTCACATGGCATACACAAACACAGATAAATGTATATATAATTTATTTCTTATATATGTTTTTACATGTATCTTATATATATTTGGATACATGCATGTGCATATACATGGCATATCTGTACATAACAGTATGTAAAGATACTAAGTGCAGGGCTGGAGAGATGGCTCAGTGGTTAAGAGCACTGACTGCACTTCCAGAGGTTCTGAGTTCAAATCCCAGCAACCACATGGTGGCTCACAACCATCTGTAATGAGATCTAATGCCCTCTTCTGGTGTGTCTGAAGACAGCTACAGTGTACTCATATATAATAAATAAATAAATCTTAAAAAAAAAAAGTTACTTATAAAAAAAAAAAAAAGATACTAAGTGCAGTCACACGAAAAGAAATAAGCTGTGAAATATGCAAAATAGTAGCTTTTTGGAACAAAAAGAAGAAAGTAAGTGTGTGTGTGTGTGTGTGTGTGTGTGTGTGTGTGGTACAAATGTCTAATCTAAGCATTAGTCTTCTCAATTGGGGATGAAAGAAATGTGTCTTCCTGGTCATCTCTCCACTCCACTGTCCCCACTATTTCTAAACTAGTCCACACTCCACAGTCCCTGCACAGGCTGTTGGAAGGCAGAAGGTCACGCCAGATCCCACTTCATGTCACTCCTGCAGACTATCGGGTGGCGGTGTGTGGTGGGTGGGAGCCACCAAGAAACTCCCAGTGAGGAGACTTGTTCTCAAGTGGGCTGGTTTCCTAAAACTGAGAATGGTGGTTTCAAGTTCTCCATGGAACAACTTCCTTCTTAACCGAGTTAATAGATGAGTTATAGGGTCTTTTGTGGGGAGGCCCTTGTTCCCATAGTCTGAGGAATATGCACCTGATTGGTTCCGGAGGATGAGAATCCACCACGGCAGGGAGGCGTGTCGGCAGCAGTGGGAGCTGAGGGTTTGTATTCTTTACCATAAGCATGAAGCAGGGGTCAACTGGAAATAGAGCGTCTTTAGACACTTGAAGCCCTAGCTGGGTGGTGGTGGCACACACTATTAATCCCAGCACTTGGGAGGCAGAAGCAGGCAGATCTCTGAGTTTAACGCCAGCCTGTTTCTACAGAGCGAATTCCAGGACAGCCAGGGCTACACGGTGAATCTCTGTCTTGAAAAAGAGAGAGAGGAAAGAGAGAGAAAAAACTACCTAAAGTCCACCTCCAGTGGCTTACTTCCTCTAACAAGGTCACACTTCCTAAGCTTCCCCCAAACAGCACCACCGACTAGGGACAAAAGTATTCAAATACAGAGCCTATGGGGGACATTTTCATTCAAACTGCGACAGAAGATCACAGAGTATCACATAAGGGCCTTGAGAAATGGCTCAGTGGTTAGTTAAGTGTGCTTGCTTCTCTTCCAGAGGATCCAAGTTTGATTCCTAGCACCCACGTCAACTGCTGTAAGTCCAGCTCCAGGTGATCCAGTGCCATATTCTGGCCTCCTTGGGCATTGTACTCAAGTGCACACACCTACACACACACACACACACACACGGATGGGGGTCCCACTCTCATCATAGTTCTGTAGCTATATATACAGCCCCTCATAGCTGATAAGCTGTTATCACCACTGTCTCGTTCTGCATCCCAGTAGGTCAAGCAGGGCAAGAGCAGGGACAGCCTGCCCACAACACATGTACACACCACTTTGTGGATGACATGGCAACACTGAGACACATGCCCGGATGGAGCCACTGAAGCCCAGTGGGATGAGTATCAGAAACCACGGTCTATCTGGGGTTCAGGGTCTCTGTCTGGAGCTGCATGCTCCTCTCTGTAGCTCCCCACCTGGACCATTTTTTGGCCCATCCTCCTCTCCGTAGACCATCCTTTTATGCTTCTTGGCTCGCACAAGACTGCAAACAGCAGCTCTGCCATCCAGGCTCTGCAGCTTTCCCCTCAAGCCTAACCTCTAGACTGATGCTCTGCCCTTGAGCCATTATCTCTTAGCATAGCCCAGAGCTTCCCTCTGCCCCATGTCCATCCAGGGTCAGGGACAGAGTAGGAGACCCACCATGAAAGACACAGAGGAGCTGGGCCAGAAGGAGAAACAGATTTCCTTAGCGGGTTGCTGAGAGGAAACGAAGGCAGCTTTTTAGCTTGCTAATAGCTGTCTGAGCCTGGCAGGAGAATAGCATGTGGCTGGGAGGGTGGGAGAGGGGGCTAGGAAGAGGCCCAGTTGGTAGAGTACTTGTCTGGCATGCATGAAACCCGGAATTCAATCCTCAGCATCCTACAAAGCAAGGCATGCTAAAACAAGCCATGGTGGCATGTTCCTGTGATCTAAACACTCCAGAGGTGGAACCAAGATCAGAAGTTTCAGGTCATTTTGAGGTATAATCGATCCTATTCAATAACAATCAAACAAAACTAAAAAAGCCTGAAAACAATGTTCATCGTCTGGGGTTATATGGCAGAGAACACCTGCGGCCAAAAGATGGCTGCTTTCTGCCCTGTCGAGCAAAGCTCCTCCTCCAGATCTGTGGCACTCCCTGCCCCGTCTGTCCAACTAAAGCCAAGACTCTTCCCTCTGCAGGTGCGGCTCTGGGAGATCCCTGACGGCGGGCTGAAACGGAACATGACCAAAGCTCTGCTGGAGCTCCATGGACACAGCCGCCGTGTGGGACTGGTTGAGTGGCACCCCACGACCAACAACATTCTGTTCAGCGCTGGCTATGACTACAAGGTGCGGGGCCCGTGTGGGGGCAGTCTGGCTGGCTCAGTGGGGGATGGTGCAGGAGGGGAGAGCAGGGGATAGTCTGAGCATATCGACTGACATGGGTCCATTTTGTCAGTCAGTCATTTAGTCACTCTCCGCATAAGACTAACCATCTCCTGTGCACATTTTTCCCCCTGGGGGTCTTGAGGGTTTAAGGCACATTTCCTGTCTTCTCTGGAGTTTAGTGGACTAGAAGACCACAATGCCCATAACCTTTGTCTGGTAACTTCCTGATGACCATGCCTTCCTAGTAGGAAAATTGAGCAACCTGACCTTCAGGGCTGCAGGGGGAATTGTAGCTCCAAACCCTGTCATGCCAGCCACCTGGGACCAGTCAGGGGATGTCTCTCCTTATTTCTTGAAGAAACCAAGTCAAGACTGGGACCTGTTGGAGGCTCTCAGTGGAGGTGTGTGTTGGTTACTTTTTGGGCTGTTGTGACCAAATACCTAACAACAAGCAACTTAAGGAAGAGTCATCTTGGCTCATAGTTGGAAGGTATAGTCTGCCGGGATGCCGGGCTCATGAGGCAACGAGTCACTGTATCCGCTGTCAGGAAGCAGAGAGATGAATGCTGGCATTTAGCTGTCCATGGAGAAGTACTGCCCACATTTAGGGTGGGTCTTCCTGCCTCAGTTAACACAGTCTAGACACTCCCTTACAGATACTTCCAGACCATTGTCTTCTAGGTGATTTTAGCTCCTGTCTAGGTGATGGTCAGTATGAACGTAGGTGTATAGCTGAGATGCATCTGCCTTTCTGTACAGAACCCTTGACATTGAGCCTGTAGCCCAGCGTAGCCCAGACCTTGTACAGACAGCTCCTCCCAGGGTTGTTGGTGTGGATGGAGGACAGGCACCCAGGACACCGCAGCCGCTGACTTGACCTCCTGCCCGTCTGCCTTCACAGATCCTCATCTGGAACCTGGACATAGGCGAGCCAGTGAAAATGATTGACTGTCACACCGACGTCATCCTCTGCATGTCCTTCAATACAGACGGCAGCCTGCTCACCACCACATGCAAGGACAAGAAGCTTCGTGTGATTGAACCCCGCTCTGGCCGTGTTCTGCAGGTGGTGCCAACGTTTTGTTGAGGGGGAGGAAATGCTGGAGTCTGTGCAGGAAACAGGCAGTGCTAGGGCCCCTGGAGGGAAGGGCTGTCCCGGGGCCCTGCTCCTGCATCACAACCACGCCTTTGGACCAGCCTATCCACTCAGGCCCATTCTCAGCCTGCAGGAATTCTGATTTGTTATGGGCAGGAAGGGACCAGAGGACTCTTTTCTGCCACGGTGGCATCTCCTCTATAGGGGATTCTTCTGCCTCCTTCAGTGGACCTTCGGTCCCTGAGTCCCTGGGATTAACCAGGTCCCATCATGGGTATAGAGGGAGAGGACTTTTGACTCCCTGCCCAGCCACCTGCACAGGATGTGCCTGTAGCAAATGGCACATGATCCGAGGTCCACAGATGGCTCCATATGGGGAGGCTGGTGGGAGGTTACTCCCCAAGACTCAAGGGATTGAGCTATTTGGGAATAACCAGTGATTGTTTGCTGAGTTCTTACTACATGGCAACCATAAGTCTCTGGAGGATGGAACATATGGATGGCAGGACAGGGGTACTTAGTTAAGGGGAAGCAGTTGATACGGAGCTTGCCTACCACGACAGAGCCCTGGGTTTGATCCCCAGCACCCTCCGAACCGTGGGGGAAGGGTGGCACATGCCTTGAACCCAAGCACTTGAAGATTGAGGCAGAAAAACGGGGAAACCGGGTTGGGGGATCTTTCCAGGACATGTTTTGTGGGTTAAAAGAAACACCACAGTGACAGTACTCAACGCAGGCCCCTGAAACATTAGTGAAGGATAACCTGGCCCTTCCCCGTTTCTGCTATTCTGGATAATACATGGCCCTTGCTTCCTGAATCCCAGGGTTCTGTGCTGGAGGACAACTGTGTTACTATCCTGCAGCTACTGTAACAAGTACCCTCAAACTAAGAATAGCTTTAAGTACTGGCAACTTGTTCTTTTAGACAGGGGGATCTAGGTGTCCCAAACCATCTGCAGGTTGCTCTCCCTCCAGAGATTTTAGGGGAGACTCAGTTCTTATTCATGTGTGTGCACCTGTGTGTACACATTTACACTGCATTTGCATGTCCACATGCATGTGAATGGCAGAGGCTAATGTCGAGTGTCTTCTTCAGTTACTCTTCTCCACACTGTGTTTTTGAGGCAGGGTCTCTCTCTGAACCCACCCTCACTGATGCAGCCAGGCTGCTGGCCAGCAAGCCCAGGGAACCTCTTGTTTCCACCTCCCAGTGCTAGGATGACAAAGGCCGTCACCCAACTTTTTAATTTTGGGAAAAGTTCTGCATTTATTAATTTTGAATGTGTTGGGGGAGGAGCTCACATGGGGAGGTGACCAGGGGACAACTCAGAGGCATTAATTCTCTTCAACCATATAGGTTCCTAGGATCTAAGTCAGGGCTTCCGGATCTGAGGCAAGGGCCTTTGCTGAGCCTCTGTTTATTTTTTTTTTGTTTTTTGTTTGTTTGTTTGTTTTGTTTTGTTTTTAAATATTGTTTTGCAAAGATCAAACTCAGGACCCCTGCTTTCACGTTCTCAATGGAGCCATCTTCCCCAGTCCTTTTGTTTTCTTGAAACAGGGTCTCACTATGGCACTCTATGTAGTCTATGCTGGCCTGTGCCTCAAAGGTTGTGTCATCTCTCCCTGCACACTGTATGGACTCACCTCTCTCTTACAAAGACACTGGTGACAATATTTAGAGCCAACTTGTGAAAATCATAGCAGTCTCTCCATCTCAGGATTCATAGCCACATTACATACGCAAGGATCTTTTATATCTAAATGGGGTCGGGGGGGGCAGTCACAGCACCCTCTAACTGGGACATCGGTTTCTTGAGGAACTATCATTTCATTCAGCTCTCTGCAGAGCCACATACTGAGGGTCCTGGCTCATCTAAGATCTCTGTCCCCTCCAGGAGGCGAACTGCAAAAACCACAGAGTTAACCGGGTCGTCTTCCTGGGCAACATGAAGCGACTCCTCACAACAGGGGTATCCAGGTGGAACACGAGACAGATCGCCCTCTGGGATCAGGTCAGCCACTGGGATGCCAGCAGGAGGGCAGAGGAGGCAGCCAGCCTATATCTGAGCTCCTGGGTCTCTTGAGTCCCAGATAGGACAAGAGTAGAATGAGATCCGTGCCTGGGGCCTCTGCTGGAGGGTCCTGCAGCTCTGGTGGCTGTGCTGGGATTTGGGAAGAAGCTGTGCTTTTCTCTCAGGTGCAGCTGACCCACATCTCCGTCATCCCTGTAGGAGGATCTGTCCATGCCAATGATCGAGGAAGAAATTGATGGACTCTCAGGCCTCCTGTTCCCATTCTATGATGCTGACACCCACATGCTCTACCTGGCTGGAAAGGTAGTGGGGTGAGGGAGGGGCTGTGAATTAGCAGGAGATTCCAGTCCCCATTAGACTATCTCTCTTCCCTTATCCCTAAGAAAACCAACCTAAACTTTGTGGCTTCCCACGAGCCAGCCCAAAAAGACCTCGTCAGAACGGCTGTGTGGACATGATAAAACCAACCACACCACACACATCACTCCAAACACCACACTGCACATATAATGTACATACCACATACATACCATAACATATTGACTGCACCGTACATTCACACCACAGAGACCAAACATACATAATACACTGCATACATATCACACATGACACCATCCATATATGCCACATGCCACACCATACATTCATGTCACAAGGCTATACATACACACCACACTGCATATATACACATTATATAGACTATAATATACATACTACAATATACACAAACTATGCACTACACCTACATATACCATACCATATATACCATATATACATATAATATACACATAGCACACATCATACCATACACATCACAGCATATATACACTATACAAACATGCTACACTGCACACATGTCATGTGCACACACACACACTGCACACACATCACACAAATCCCATGCACCATATAGACACACACTGTGAGCACACATACACACATACCACGTATATACCATCCCATATCCACCCTTGCCCCTAGTAGAGCTAGCAAAGCCTATAGGACAGGTCTCTTTTATCTCTTGGCTACTTCTGAGGCAAAGGGCAGCTCTCTTCCATAGTGCCCTGGGCCTAGGTCTGCTGGACCCTGCCCTCCACTCTCATTGCCTCTCTGCTACCTTCAGGGGGATGGAAACATCCGGTACTATGAGATCAGCACGGAGAAGCCCTACCTGAGCTACCTCATGGAGTTCCGCTCCCCAGCCCCACAGAAAGGCCTAGGTAAGGACCCAGAAGCTGTGGGGCTGCTCTGTGCAGAACAGAAGACACAGTATCACTTTACACAGTAGTCAGACTCCAAAGCCACAGTCAATGGGCAGATAGGAATGGGACCCACGCATGCTACCTTTGGTAGGTCAGCTCCTCATGACAGCAGCTTGGCCATCTCTGCTCAACAGCAGCCTGCAGGGTACAGGCTCTGTCGTCTTCCTCAGCTGTAGATGGAGACTCACTCTACAGTGGGGCTCACATGGTAGAAAGAAGTTCAGTGGTTCTGAAGCCAGGACTATAGCCCCAGCTGGCGTACTGGCCAGGCCCAGCAGGGCAGGCAGGAGCTCCACCATTTTCCTTGGATCCCATCACCCAGAGAGGAGAACCAAAGACTGAGAGTTTGAGGGTAGCCCAAGCGCTATATAGTGAGACTCTGTCTTGATAAAGAGGGGGAGAGAGGGAGAGTGAGAAGAGGTAGGTAGAAGGGAGAGTATTCCAGAATTTCTCTTTGGAAGAGCAGCTTCCATCCCAGTCAGAAAGACCTAGAACTCTCACTGGAACACTACAGGAAAGACACATGTTCTGTCTGTGCTTGGCACACTGCCAGGCAGGTGCTAATCATCTGTGTGCTCCACTCTCCCATGACGTCACCCCAACAAACCAAAAGTTCAGAGTTAGTGACTCACCCTAGAACTCCTGTGTGGAAAAGGGAGCAGAGTCCCAGTTCAAATCCCATTTGTGGAAGCCCAAGCTGAGCCCTTGCACCACGCAGGCTCTGCCTTGGAGAAGCACTCCTATTCAGGAGGCGAAGCTGCCCAGGACAACTTGGCTAGTGAATGCAGACAGCACACACAAGTACCGCTGTTTCTAGAACAACAAGCTGTCTCTCAGGCTGTGTTGAAACCTCTGGAGTGGGGAGTGGCTTTGCCCTCCTTTCTGTTCTCTGCAGGCTGAGACAAAGAGGCTTAGGGAAGACAGTTCATTCCAGAAGGTGCTAGGCCCTGCAGCCTTGTATAACTTGGTATCATGAGTTTGAGGCCAGCCTGGTATACATGATCTTAACCTTTCCTGCCCCAGCCCCCAACGTGACTCAAGACACTGTGACCATCCTCTGTCCTCTGGATGGGTCCTTGCACCCAACTGCAGCCAGCCTGAGAACATCAGACCATGAGCAGGGACAGAGAGATCCCCATAAAGCCCCGTGTCTCTTCCATAGGTGTCATGCCTAAGCATGGGTTGGACGTGTCTGCCTGCGAGGTCTTCCGCTTCTACAAGCTGGTGACGCTCAAGGGCCTGATTGAACCGATCTCCATGATTGTGCCCCGGAGGGTGAGTAGGCCTGGGTTGGAGTGCAAAGGGCTCTGTGTTGAATCTTACTAACCAGAAGCCCAGATGAACTCAGATGAAGGAGGTGTGTGGGACTAGAATATTCAGGCTCCACCTGAGGTAGAGGGTGGAGGCCACTCTCCAGTGGGGATGGTTGGTTTGCATGAAAGGGTGCAGGTCTCAATGGGAGGCCCGGGGAAGGGGAGGACAATGACTTCAAGGTGGAATTGCAGGAATGTGCCTAGCTAGATGACCAGGGCTTTTCCAGCAGTTCCCAGATATCCTATCTCTTCTTCCTCCCCATACAGTCAGATTCCTACCAGGAGGACATTTACCCCATGACACCAGGCACAGAGCCAGCGCTGACCCCTGAGGAGTGGCTGGGAGGCATCAACCGAGGTACCTCTGCAGGCTGCAGACTTTACCACTCTCTAGTTCAGCCGGTGTCTGATGCATGATCCCCTGTCCAGATGTGCCCTCCCTCCCACACAGCCAGCAAGCTCAGTACGATGATACCTCACTCTACGGTCCAGCCTGTTAGATGACACTGTCTCTATTGCCTTCCCAGATCCCGTGCTGATATCTCTGAAGGAAGTCTATAAGAAATCTTCAAAAGCGGTATTTAAGGGCCCCATCAGAGAAAAGAAGAGCGTGGTCGTCAACAGCATAGATTTATTAGAAAATGTCCCACCCAGGACAGAGAACGAGGTAAGGCTGCAGAGTGTCCCCCACAACTCAGGAAGGGCCAGGCCTTTATGTTGCTACTATGAGCTTCAGGCTTGGAAGCCAGCTCTATCCTGGGACGTTTTTCTGTCAGTGACACATTCTATAAGTAACATGTAGTTGGCTCCCTTTGTCTGACCTCAGTAAACATGGAGGCTGGGATGTCAGAGAGATCTGCCCTGCTCCAGACCTCAAATTCACTGACACAGGGGTTGAACGACATCCTCATGAATCCACTGCAGAGTGTTGTGGGCACTGTAAATCACCAAGAGGATGCAGCCTGGCCTCCTCCTCACAGCTGCCCGTGCCTTCCTGCTTGCTGGTCTGTCACATTTCCTGCTTCAGAGGAAGAGGCTGGCTGTTTACAAAAGGCTCTTTGTAGCACCTGGAGCTCACGCTGAGACAGCGAGAGCTGTCCCTGCCCTCTGAAGTTATCAGCTTTCAGGCTGTGTCCTGAGGCCCACATGCCAACACAGCTCAGCTCAGCTGGCAGTTACAGGATGCCTACTGTGTGTCAGTCCTGTGGCCTGATGCAGCTGCAAGACTGACTGGTTGTATAAACCCATCTGTGTATAAATTCTGGCTCTGCCATTTCCTGGCTGGGACTGAGTTTCCTGACTTGTCCAGCTGTCGTAACACTAGAGAGATGGTACACAGTACCCAGCAGTCTTCACAGCTCATGCTAAGTGCTCAGAGAGGCTGACTGTGTTAGCCCTCTACTGCTGTGTAACACACGACCCAGAGTATATTTACTTCACCTCAAGGATTAGTTACCTTTCTCATTGTTGTGACTAAAATACCTGAAGGAGCAAACAAAGAGAGTTTGGGAGGGGGAGCCTACGGTTGGAGGGGATACAGTCCACTATGGCAAGGAAATCATTGTGGCACTATGAGGAGGCGTCTGGTCATCCCACCTCCACAATCAGGAAACAGAGAGTGAACAGGAAATAGGGTGGGGCTATAAAATCTATAATCTCACCTCCTAGTAACCTGCTTCATCTAGGGAGGCATCACCTCCTAAAGGTTCCCTAACCTTTCCAGATAGCACCCCCAGTTGGAAACCACATGTTCAAATACATGAGCCTCTTGGGGGCCATTCCATACTTAAAGCAAAACAGCTCGAAAAGGCTGATCAGCTCCCAAAGGCATCTCCGGGTGCCTGTGGTTCAAGTCACTGCAGCTGTGTCAGCTGGGGCCACAGCTAAGGGAGGACCTGCTTGGATATTGCTTCTCATAGGTGCTATCAGGCAGAGGACCTCAGTCCTCACTGTCAGAGCCATAGGGAATTCACTAAATGCTAGCTTTCGCCATGTCAGCCAGCTTCCCGCAGAGCAAGAGAGGAGTCCAAGATGGAAGCCAAAGTAGTTCTGTAAGGTAATCCAGGATGATACATCACCAGTGCTGCCCTGCTTGCTTGACACGAGCTGTTAGGTTCAGTTCAGTTCGCTGGGGAGGATGACAAGGACCATCCTACACTAGGCTGTTGGTCCGCAAACATAGACTATTACCATCTTTAGTAAAAATAACTGCACTTCACCTCAGGGATCGGCCTTAAAAGAGAACTTGACAGGCAGCTTGATCACGGGCATGAGCTGTGTTTATGTGGGCTGGGGATGTGGTTCAGCTACTAGAATGCTTGTCTAGCATGCCAAAGGACCTGGGTTCGATCCCCAGTACCACATAAACTGGGCATACGGTAGACACCTGTAATCCCAGCACCTTTGAGGTAGAATCCATACTGAGCTAGAGACCTGGGATAGGAGAGAAAGGGATGTGGGGTTATTGGCCACTATAGAAAGATACTCAGATTTCTCGAATGGATGAAATCTTGTGATATACAGGATTCTTCTCAAAATAACCCAGGTGGAGAGCAGTGGTAGAAGAGTTGGGACAGGAGCAAAGCAGACGGCAGGAACTAGGGAGCTTCTGGGACATTGTCTCCTACTTTTGTTTATATTTAACATAAAAAGTGCCCTGCCTTTTGAAGGTAGAAATATGAGTTGCTGAGATTGCCCAGGTTAGACCCCTATCTCAGCCCTGAGGGTGAAGAGGAAAGGCCCGAGGGGATTAAGTGGCGTGACATCCAGCTACCCAGATGTCCATACGGATTGGAACTAGTAACTTGGAGGAAGCATTCATAGTTCTCTGTGCTGGCAAGACAGAGCCCACCATCCACCTGTAGCTAAGCCGTGCCTCTCCCACCTTGGAAAGAAATAGCTCAGACGCTGTGGACTCAGCTTTACCCATAGTTGTAGTCAAGCTTGGACTCAACCGATGGGCAAGTGGGGTATGAAAGGAAAAGAGTGATCTAAGGGCAAGGAGACAGCTCAGAAGCAGGGCATGATGGTGCACGCCTGAATTATCAGCACTCGGGAAGCTGAGGCAGGATGAGTGCCATGAGTCCGAGCTAGCCTGGGCTACATAGTAAGTTCCAGGCTATATGATTGGACAACTCAGTATCTGTACTGAATTATGCACTTAAAATGTAGGACTACTATGGTCTGTGAATTATACCTCAAAGAGCCATGTTGTGAAGTGGGCATAGTGGTGCAAGCATGTAATACCAGCAGCTGGGAGGCAGAGGCAGGACTGCCATGAATTCAAAGCTAACTTGGGTTACAAGTCTATTCCTAGCACTCAAGAGAGGTTTAAGCAGGAATAGATCAAATCCTGGGCTAGCCTGGGCTATATATAATGGGACCCTGTCTCATCACCCCCACAAATAATAGTATTAATTAATTAATTAATTAATTAATGTTAAAACAGGGAAAGTCAGTGAAAGGAGGGGAGTCATTAAAATGATGCATTCTTTAAACCACTGACTTGTTTTTGAAACATAAAATGTATGTATTTATTCGATACTTCAGAGAAGGGAGTTGAAACTGGATCTCCCTGTCCAAACCAGGACAGCCTCAAACTGTCCATCCTCCTGCCTCAGCCAGCACTAGATTACAGGCCTGTGCACTGGTCCCAGTCCATTTGAAGACTTTGATGGCTTCAGGGCCCGGCTGCTTCCTTTGCTGATGCCTCCCTGGTTGGGGTCTACTGTGACTGTCTCTCTCACATTAATTATTCCTTAACTCCAATTGTCCGTCAGTCCTTTTGTTTTGTTTAGCTTTGTTTTCCACTTGATCTTAGCCAAAAGGATGAGAAGAGGCTCAGTATCTTTGAGGTGAAACCAGACAAAAAAATGTCAATCTGAAAGCAAAGTCCCCATTTTACAATGTTTTCTCTAGTTTGTTTCCTGGCCACACTGGGTATTGAACCAAGGGCCTCACACATGCTGAGCTAGTGTTCCTCCACTAGTCCCTAATCTACTTCTGAGACAGGTGCAATGAGGTAGAAAACTCATTCTTTATGACGTGTGTGTGTGTGTGTGTGTGTATATTGTGTGTGTATATAAATATATGTGTATATTTGTATATATGTATATATGCATATATGTGTGTATAAACATGTGTATATGTATATATATTGTGTATATGTATTTGTGTGTATATTTATGTATTTCTGTATATACATGTGTGTATATGCATGTGTGTATGCATGTGTGTATGTGCATATGTATGTATCAGTATATGAGTGTGTATATATGTGTGTGTATATATGTATATATATGTGTATATATGTATATGTGTGTGTGTGCATGTTGTTAAGGTTTTTTTTTAAGATTTATTTATTTTATGTATATGAGGACACTATTCTCTTCAGACACAACAGAAGACAGCATCAGATGCTGTTAACAGATGGTTGTGAGCCACCATGTGGTTGCTGGGAATTGAACTCAGGACCTCTGAAAGAGCAGTCAGTGCTCTTAATCGCTGAGCCATCTCTCCAGCCTATGTTGTTTAGTTTTGTGAAAGGCTTTCCTATAGTCCTGGCTGGCCTCAGACTCACTATTTAACCAAGGGTAATCTTGAACTTCTCCTCCTTCCCTTGGTTGCTAAGATTACAGACATGTGACCCCATATTTGTTTTAGGTAGTGCTGGGTATCAGATCCAACTCTTTTTGCATGCCAGGCAAGTATTCTACCAGGTGAGCTGCATCCCAACCGCAGGCCTGGGAGTTTTGATAGGTGCCTATGGTTGGAAGGCCGCTATAACCAGTCTCCATGGTTACATCACCTATATTTGGTTGTTTAAGCATTGCCTTTAGCAAGACTACTCTCTACCTACATTGTTTCTGTAGAAATAACAATGCTCTGTCCTCATTGATGTAAACTATGTTTAATTAAATTATAAAAGCACATACATGATCAAACATAATCATGCCGGCATCTCACAGCACAGTGACTGTGGATATCCCAGCTTGCTTTTTATTGCTGTGGTAAGTTACTATGGCTAAAAGTAAGTTGGAGAGGAATGAGTTTATCTGACATACACTTCCACATCACAGTCCATCACTGAGGGAAGTCGGGGGAGGTTAGTGGTGCAGAAACTCAAGGCCGGAACCTGAAGGCAAGACTGAAGCACAGACCAAGGGAGAATGTGGCTTGCCAGCTCACTTCCTCATGACTTGCTCACCAGCAAGGGCCCTGCTGGGAGCCTACTCTCCCAGTCAGTGTTTTGTTAGTGTATTTCACAGAAGCAATCAGAATCTGGTAGACCCAGGGAGGCCTGACTGTCTGCCAGGGTACCAACTCTTTGCCCATGTTCACCAGGACCTGAACCACTGCCTAGACTTTGGCACTTCAGTCACAGTCATATTTTAAACAAGATTCTAGGACTAGAGAACAGCTCGGTGACAGAGCACTTTGTCAGTGTGCCCTTGGCTCTGTACATACACATGCATGCACACACGTACAGGCTCCCGCACACAAACTCACACACACTCGTGCAAACTCATGCATACATACACACACACAAGGCCAAGTGCCATTCTGTATGCTCAATTTTCTCAAGAAGAGAAGAAGGACTGGCTTCAGGTCCGATCCTCCAAAATAGAGCGACAACAACACATACTCATAACCCTAGCACCTGGGAGGAAGAGACAGGAAGATCCTGAGTTCAAGGGCATGCTCAGCCAGTAACTTTGAGGCCAGCATGAGACCTTGTCTTTAAAAGTCTTAGAATTCTGTCTAGGATTTTTTTTAAGAGGGGGAAGCAGGAACACCCGGAGTTTGAGACAACCTCTGCTACATAGCAAGTTTGAATGTAGCCAACATGAAGAAAAGGAAGGGGAGGAGGAGGAAGGGGAGGAGGGAGGAAGAAAGAAAAGGAAATGGGGGCAGGAGGATCGGGAGTTTAAAGCCAGCCTCAGACAGGAATGAGCCAGAGTGAGCCTCTATCTCAAACAAAGGCTTTAGTTCAGACCCATAAAGGGGCCAACTTTAGCTCCTAAGAACCGGCCTCCCTCAGACAGGCCTGCGGGGGTACCATGCTCTACTAGTCTCCCATCAGGGGTAAGTAGGAGCCCTGGAAATAACGGCAGGGAGCGCCGGGCTGGCTGTCCCGGGGTGGCAGGAGGCCTGGGGAAGGTGAGCAGCCAAGGCAGGTCTGGGTGGGGTGGGGTGGGGTGTCTGAGAACCCTGGTCCTCCAAAGTCTTCCTCACATACTCTCTCCCTGAACTCCTTGCTGTATCCCAGCTCCTCAGGATGTTCTTCAGGCAGCAGGATGAGATTCAGAGGCTGAAGAAGGAGCTAGCACAGAAAGACATTCGGCTCCTTCAACTCCAGCTCGAACTGAAAAACCTGCGCAACAACCCCAAGAACTGCTAGCCCCGCCTCGGACTGTGTTAGCCCCGCCTCGGGCTGTTTTTCAAGCCGATCTCTCCGTTGTTTCTACTGGTCCCTAAACTGCCTCTTATCTGTAGAGCCCAGAGACAGGGCCTGGACTGAAGCTGGGGACCAGCTGGAAGACCCTACCTACCACCTCAAAAACTGGAAGCTGACCTTTGATCTCCTGACTTCATGCTAACACCAGTTCCCCAGCCTCTCCTGGAAAGCCCAACCCTGACTGGCTAACAGGAAGAGTGGGATTACAGCCTGATGTAGAACTTGAATTTGTCCCCTGCAGAGGGGCTGCCAGGACCTATCTACACAGGCACCAGTCGCTCCGACCCCAGCATTACTTCTGAAGCACAGTGAGGGCTGGATTGAGGGTAGAGCGCTCCGCCCACATCCTGCCTCATTGTGCTCCCAGCTGCCCAGCAAGCTCAAGTCATCTCACCCAATGGTGAGCACCTGGCAGCCGGCCCTTTTCCTTCTGAACTCTGTCCCACCCCCTTGTCTTCAGGGAATGAAGAGGACGCTCTAAGGCCATAATGACCCTTTGCCTACCCTGCGGTTCTCTTCAAAGCTCTTTTACACCCCCCTTTCCAATTAATTTGTGAAGCAGGCAGGGTAGGGATTAGTGTCCCCACTTGTCAAATGACAGACCCGAGGGCTGCCATCAGGAAGCAACTTACAGTCACCCAGAGGGTCAGCGGCAGACCAAGTACCCTTGGTTTCCAGACCCCACGGCCAGGGCCCTCCCTAGTGTATTGAGATGCCAATGCCTTTGTGGGCTTCCCCAGAATGAGACCTGGAAGCCGCTTCCACTGTCTGCCCAACACCAGTAGTGCCAACATGCCATCCTGCCAGGTTGAGGCCCTCACACTCAGTGCCCCTGAGCCTCCTGGCCTGCGATCCTTGCTCTCACTCCCCGCCAGGGGCTCCATCTGACAGCGAGGCCTCTTCCTGGAAGCTGGGGCAGAGAAAGGGCGGGGCTTGGCCCTAGGACAGGCAGAGCAAGATGGCTTCCAGGGATGCTCTGCCCGGCTCCCTCCACTCCCCGCCCTTCCCACTCCCAACCCTGCTATCTCAGCCACTGTCAGCCTTACACACACAGGATGACCACAGCCACTCACCCACACAGCACTTTAAAGTTTACCTAGTTTTTTTTGACACATAGAGGACACATAGTGCATCCGCCGTACTTTACAGTGAAGGAAACCGGGAAGTGGCCCCTCTGCACGCAGTTCTGGGATGCTGCATCTCCTTTGATCTTCTACACGCTTGCTTTATCCTCCCTCTCCTCCCTCTTCCCATTCCCCGCCTAACATGGAGCGCAAAAGCACTGGTGTCAGGACAGTCACCGCTGTTTAGACAGAGGAGATATGGGGATCTCTGTCATCGGCTGGGGTCTGCTATACATAGGATACTCTTTGCCTGCCCTTCCCGTGGCCACCCTACAAAACTTCCCAACCGCAGAGGCCATTCTGGGGAGCTGAGGTGAGATTCCCCAGCCATGGAGCCTCTCCCCTCCACCACCGATGCTCCCTGCTCCCAGCGTGCTGAAGCAAGTTCTCCTCCTGCACCACCATAGCTAGATCGTCTGTCAACTCTCATCTCCCCTCTACACTTCTGGAGCTTTCTTTCTCTCCATTGACCTTTGTGGTCTTCTGTGATTATTTATGCTGCCTCCCAAGGATAGAATTGAAATAAAATGTTTTCAAGTTATCAAGCCAAGACATGGCCACATCATTTAGCCTCGGGGAGATCCTACATTGGTCATCTCGTCTCTGTGGCCAGCTGCACACTCATAACTCCTTTGTCTTTCTGAAGTGACAGCTACCTCTGTACAGCTGTCCCGCCACATTGACATCCTGGGAACTGCAGCGCTTTGCTGTGGGGGCTGTCCTGTACACTGTCTACTCTTCAGTGTCCCTGCCTTAACACACCAGATGTCGTGGCAACCTCCACCTAGTTTTGACAGACAAAATGTCCCTACATATTATCTAGTGCCTCTGGGGTTATCAGAATCATCCCCAATTCAGAACTGTTTTTCTGGGGCTGGTAATGGCTCAGCAGGAAAAGGGACCCACCACCAAACATGACAGCCTGAGTTGTAGAAGGAGAAAACAGACTCTGATTGTCCTCTGACCTCCATGCATTTGACATGACACTCTTGGCACTGTATACACACACACACACACACACACACACACACACACACATATATATATAAAACAATCTTTTACTTAAAAAGAATTTGATTATGTGTGTGCAATACCAACAGTGGCCAGGAGGTGGTGTCAGGTTCCCTGGAGCTGGAGTTAGAGATGGTTGTGAGACACTATGTGAGTGCTAGGAACTGAACCTGGGTCCTCTGCAAGGGCTCTAACCACTGAACCACCTGTCCAGCCCCATATTCCTTTTTTTTTTAAATTAACTACTTCTTACAGCTATTCAAAAGGTATTTGCTATGGACAAATATAGTGGCTTACCTATAATTCCATGCTTAAAGGCTAAAGCAGGAGGGTTATCAAGAGTTCCAGCTCAGCCTGAGATACACAGTAAGACCCTGTTTCAAAACAGGGAGAGGCACACCAAGGATGTAGCTCAGTTGGTAGGGTGCTCACCTAGAATTCATGAAGCCCTGAATCTGATGATAGGCACAAGATAAACCAGGGATGGTAGCACAAATTTGTGATCTTGGGAAGTGGGGCAGGAAGTTCAGAAGTTCAAAGTTAACCTTGGTTACATAGGGAATTCAAGACCAGCCTGGGTTATATAAAGACCATGTCTGATCAGTATCTAATCCTGTGTTGTGATCTGGGAAAACTAGTGTCTTACACTGGAATAGCAATCTGCAAGGTACTGGCCCACGCATTAGAGGTTCTATTATCACACTCACTGGTGGAACAGTGATGTGCCCAAGATCACTGACCCAGTGTTGTGGGAAGCCAAAAGATAAGGGTTTTCTGGGCTTAGGGACAGAGAAACTGAGAGGAGCCTGCTTCGGAAGGATGCTGGGGTCTATCATGAGACCAGGAATGGTGGGCACCAGTACTCCCTCACCAAGGCAGGCCTGTCTGAGTAGAAGGTTATCAGTCTACCAAGGGGATGCCATGGATAACTGAGGGGAGCCAGAGGAGCTAGCACAACTTAACTGGGAGCATCAGAGGACTGTAGGAGAACTGTGTACAGGACTCTGGATCAGGTGAACAGCTTAAATCCCATTCTGACCCCAGAAAATCCTGCATGTCATTCTTCTGCATAGGGTGTCATTTTTCCTATCTGTACACTAAGGGGTGAGAACAATCCCCAGGACCCCTTCCTGGTCAAACACCTGAGATTTTGGTGATGTCAGCTGCCGAGAGGATGAAAAAATTGCCAAGACCGTGCATTGTCTGGCATAAGTGATACAAACCAGTTTGTCAAGGAAAAGGGATGCAGCTTGGGGCACTTTCGAGGCCTGAAGGCAGCACTGCCAAACACGAGTTTGAACAATCTACTCCTACAGTTTCTGCTTCTAGACCAAATCTCAAAGCCTAGGTTTTCAGGAATTCTGAATTCATTCAGAGTGTGGTTCATGTAAACTTCTCATTAGATGTCAGGGAACACAGGGGCTGTCACCTGGCTGAGACGACCCTGCCTAGGCCCAGGGGAGCAGGTAATATATAGACATGCTGATCGGCCTTCTCCTCTGGCCCACCTGTTTCCACCCCAGCAGAACAACTTATAATGGTAAATTACCTAAGGTTAGTAGGTGCTCATTTTTCCAAACTGTGTTTGTTGAATAGTTACCTACCCATTGGTTACTTATGTGTCCTTAGATACTTCATATGCTGTGCTGGAGGTGTAGCTCAGCGGAGTGCTTGCTTAGAGTGCTGAAAACCCTGCGTTCCTTCCTCATCACTGCATAAATCAGGCATGGTAGCAGATGCCTGCAATCTCAGCACATAGGACGTGGAGGTATGAGGTCCAGAAGTTTGAGGATATCTTTGACTATATAGTGAGTTCAAGGCCAGCCTGAGCTTCATGAGACATTGTCTTAAAAAAAAAAAAAAACTATGCTATGATATCTTTTACTTCTAGTCTTGTATGCTGGTCTCTCTGCCAGTGCTGACTGAACCCTCCACACAGCTTTTGTTTTGTTTTGTTTTGTTTTGTGTTTCGATACAGGGTTTCTCTGTGTAGACCAGGCTGTCCTGGAACTCACTCTGTAGACCAGGCTGGTCTCGAACTCAGAAATCCGCCTGCCTCTGCCTCCCAAGTGCTGGGACTAAAGGCGTGCGCCACCACTGCCCGGCTCCACACAGCTTTAATTACTTAAAGGTGGGGATGGGAGGGAACCCCCATGGCTCTTTGAACCGTCTCTACTGACATGCTTCCCTCCAGATGTTATTCTTGCTTTTTCCCCAGGTAAAGATGTCTTGGGCTAAATTTCAGATCCTTCTTTTCTATGAATAAGCCTTTATGTCTCTCTAGGCAACGGTACATCTCCCAGTTCTAACTCCTGTCCTTCTCCTGAAACCTGACTGGATTTCCAACTTAGTTTAGCACACTCCATGTAGCTGGATAACTAAAAACTGTAAGCTAAACCTAAGGCATGCCAGTCATGTCTATCTATGGCATCCAACCACCAGCAGGACACAGAGCCCTGATCCTGGAGGGGTTCCACTCTGGGATGGGTTCAAGGTGGGGTGGTCATCAGTCTGGGGAGGTTGCTGGCTCCTGAGAGATCTTCCAGTCAGTCTCCTAAGATCTCAAGATGGGTTCAGGCATTTTTAGACTCCTAACTCTGGGCAGGCATCCAAGACTGTCAGCAGACCCATGCAGAACCTGGCTGCTTCCTCACTGTGCGAAATGATTTCATCCTGAAAACAACCCCCAGTCCTGCCCTGCCTTCCAGCTTGGGAGAAGGAAGATGCCGTGGCAGGGGCATGCAGCAGTGGCAGACACTTAACCTTGGCCAGGAAGAATTAAGAGATCCACAAGGGCCCATAATGCAGAGAGAGGAAAAGTGTGTGTGTGTGTGTGTGTGTGTGTGTGTGTGTGTGTGTGTGTGTGTTCCCCTGCCCTCTGCTGGATAACAACTGAAGGTCCCAGTTCTGGAGAATGTTTCCCATTTTGAAATAACCTGCAGCTTGCTAATTCAATTCAGCACAACGATAGCCTTATTCCAACCCCTTCTCTGACACCTGGGTCCTTAGTTGGTCACTGTCTGGCAGCACTGTCCCCATTAGGTTATCCATTGACTTCCCAAAGCACTGCCCCAGACACACACACACACACACACACACAATGCTAACCAATGGGGCCCAAATGAAGGGAAGACGGGAGCTGAGAATATAAATCTTAGATTTCAAGGTCACAATGATCACACAACGATTCAAGGACCAGAAAGAATTTGCTAGAAACTTGAACCTAGCCAGCAGATGGCAGATTACAGCCCTCTACTGTTCTAAACTGGGTGCCGTCTGCCATCTCCCATCCAACCCCTTAAGTAAAAGACATAGACCATCGGGGCCTCCTGGTGAAGCAGGCACTCTGTCTAGCCAGGATCTGAACCACCCAGGCATGAGGAAGGGAAGGCCTCAAGTCCGGGAGGCCCCAAGTCCGCGAGGACAGCGTCTGAGAGCGGCCAGAGGAGGGCGCTCGCCTCGTCCTTCGGCAAATTCCGCGGTCTTTGCCGGCGGCGCGCCTGCTTGCCTGGGAGCTGGAAGAAGGCTGAGGCTTGCTTCCCGTCCCAGCACGGATCTGACCTGCTCGGTGACCTTGAACAAGGTTCCCACAGGGACAATGACAAGGAGGGGCTGTTTCTGCATTTCCACGAGGTTTGGGGCAGAGCGGGAACTCGAGAAGAGGAGGGCAGAAAGGAGCCGAAGGAGGAGCCAGGGTCACCGCTCAGCCCAGTCCTGGAGCCCGCTAGCTCGAGCCTCCGCAGTCTCCGGGAAGCTGCTGATGAAGGAAACAGAAGCAGTCCTCTCCAGCTCTCTGCCTCCCGCCCCGGAAAACACAAACGTCCAGGGCAGGGCCAGAGGTGAAGGTGGAGTCCGCCAGGGAGGCTGCACTCCTCTCGGGTGAGAAGCCGAGGAAGGGGCTGGAGTGAGCTGATACTGGTTTCACTGCTTCGACCAGAGGGGATTAAAGAGCATCAGTCAAGCAGAGACACCAGGTCCAGTTCTGGGGGCTAGTGGCCTGGATAATAGTGAGAGAGCGTGCTGAGCTATGGAATTGACCTTGACTGAGGGAGAGAGGGCACAGGGACACCTTAGGAGAACGCTCAGTAACGGAACTAGAGATGGTCCCTACTATCATGATAAGGGGGCACACCATCGAACTTAGCAAACGCCCCTTGAGACACCCAAAGGAGGAGACACTCTTAAGAAACTGCAGTTTCTCTGTGCCGTTTAGACTAGATGTAAAATATTTGCCAAATACTGCCCCCCCACACACACACACACACCCGAGAAACAGGGTGCGCCTCCTAGTGCAGGGATCTTGGGCATGAGCCACCACACCTGACTCCTGCTGGATATCCACTCCCTGGGCTTCATGCTAGAGAAACACCCTATCATCTGAGCTACATCATAACCCTGCTGGCTACTTGTATCATGGAAAGACCTGTGCTGCCCCTTGGGACTTCCTAGCAGTATAATTATAAAGTCCCTTTATACCTTATGAATCTCCTTCCCTAACATCATCCCCCATCAACTTCTTAGGATGCCTGCATTTCACAG